TCTCTCTCTCTCTCTCTCTTTCTTTTTTTTATATATATATACTTTCCCCGCTTTGTTACGGTAAGTCCGGTGTGCATGGCCGAGGCCCAATCGCTATTTGTGGAAGCACTGCTGTAACGGTATGGTAGATTATGGCAATTTCATTACAAGTAAATTTAAAAGCCCCGGGACAAACAATGGTGGAATCAAAGCGTAAAGTATGACGAACCGAAGGCCCACTTGTTATACCTGGTACTCGAGTACGGTCTTTCGGAGCTCCGGGTGAGGGGGGGTGTGGTGATACGGTATCATAAATAATACGGTAACCTTATGATACATGGGGTAAACAGTTCTACGGTACCCTGGAAGGAAAAAGTACCGGTAGGGTGAGTTAGTTGTGAGGCTCCAGTGACCGGATGCGAAATCTGGAAGAATGAAGTCCATATGCCTACCAGGACGGTTATCAGCGGAGGACCGGTTAGGTTACTAGTACTTGTAATACCGTGCTAGGGTCAGTGGGAGTTTGCTTCGCGTTTCTTGGCCGGCGCAGGTTACGGGCACGGTGATCATGGAGGACTGCAGCACAAGTACTCGAGCAGTACCGGTATTACGACTACAGTAGGGGGATTCAAAGCTCTCGGTACGGTACACGGAAGGTACGGGTGTTTCGGTAGAGGTGTATTTTTTTTATTGAAATTATGGTATCATACACAACAAACCTCTTCGGAAGGAGGGATGCAGCATACCAGTGTGATACAGAGAGGTACGGTCGTTTTATTCGAGCGGTACACCTGTATTCGTGGGGTATACCGTGTACTAGTACTCAGTTCGCAGCGTACTGAGAGCTTTGAATCCCCCTAGTATGATACTCGAGTATGATACCGGTATTGCGGTGCACAAGAAGTTAGGGCAATGGAAGCGGGGCGAATTGGTCCCTGAAGGAAACACCCGGGAGGGTGGATCATCCTTTGCGATTAGCGTGAGCTTGTTTTCAGATTTCTTGGCGCGAGCACGGTTCACACCAACGCGACAGAGGTTAGATGGTGCGCCCGGCCACAAAAGTTGGTGGGCAGGCCAATCACATGAAAGGGTGCCCAATCCCATTCGCTCCCTCTCTTGGTGGATGACTAATGCCACCGCGGCTCTTTCCCATGTACGGTACTGGTAAATTTACCTGTAGACTAAGAGTACTCGAGTACGGGTACTGTATCATGCTTACAGACGCGCTTCACTCGGATTACCGGTATTCCAACACCGGCACCAGCATTCTCGAGGAAAGGGCACAAACGACGTAGCGTACTCGAGTACGGTACGCTATGATTGAAAACGATGGCGTTCTACACCTTCAGCCGCACAGCCCCGGGAAATTGAGACGGGATACGGTGCTCGTACAAGTACGGTATGCGACGAGGAGATTGCCGGAGAGAATTGATGGGACGATGCGGGTGCGATACTGGGCGCTGATTGTTCCGGCGAGATGGGTGCTGTCTTTTTTTGTCCGGGCTACGCATTCTCTGCCATCTCACCGGTGAGCGGATCCGGGAAACGAGTTGGGGAGGAGAGCGAGATGCCGGTATGGGCTTTGTTCCGGTGGTGCTGGGGAAGCCCGTTGATCGATCGACTCTGGAAAACCCTTTCACAAGTCTGGGCGAGGTCGAGGAAGAATGTCTCCCCCGCGCCCTGTGTTGTGGATTTTGGTCGACATTGGCCTGTCGAATGGGGGAAAAAAAGAAAAACGTGGGCTGATGGAACTAGTACTCCTATGGTCTGCGATGGCTTGGAGGGCTGAGTACGCTAACCTTCAGCGCCCATGCTTTGGAAGGGACTCCGTTTGCTTTTGGAATTGGTGAGCACTGTGCGGGTATCATACGGTACTCGAGTGCTGGCTGGAAATCTGGGATGCATAACACGACTGTCCTCCGAGCCTTCGCGCCAGAGCTATGCCAAGGGCAGGAATCTCTCTCCTTTTCCCCATCTCCGCTCACATTGTCGAGAGTTTGCAGAGCCGCGATAAACAGATATGGCCGTCGCTGCCACCCCACCCATGCATCGTTATTTTTTTCCGCAGCGAGATCCCAAATACCGTTTTTCGAGACCTACGGTACCGGTACCGACCAGTACGAGTACAATACTACCCAAAGAGCTTCTCTTCTAACGAACCATGCAGAATCAAACACGGAAAGGGGGTTGGTTTTATTCCTCTCCAAACTGACCTGGACTCCAATGACCGGGACTTACTGTAGCGAGGGCCAATGATGGGCTGTGATACTTGTACCAACAGTCTGTGCAACGACTCGTACGGTGCTTGTGCCTTTCCTTGCTTTTTACTGTACCATCCCGGAACACTGTACCACATCATGAGGCTTCGAATGTCCACATCCTAGTGGGCCGTGGCCGGCCTTGCGCTCCCCTTTTTCCCCCCAATAGTGCGCTCGGGATTGGGGATGGGATGGGGATGGGGAAATCGCGGAATGACTGAGCCGTCCGCCCTTTCCTTTCCTCCTGTTCTCCAGCAGCGCTCGAAGAATCTCTCCATTTCGATATGGGGACGTCCAGCAGCATGTCATTGACAGTGCCAACCTTGACGAGTTCGCTCATCGGCGCGACTTCGAGATCCTCGCTGTGGCCGCCGCCCAGCTATGCTCCGGCCGCCTATCCATCCTATTCGAGCTATACGCCCGCTGCCGTAACCTCAGCATTCGTTCCTCTGGAGACGTGGACTCCTCCAGTCAGCTGTCAAGGAGAAGCTCCGACACTCACCTGGGATATGGGACTGCATTCTCAGCCGAGCATCCTCGCCCTGAACCAGTTTTACCGTACCACTGTTGCGGGAAACGGTGAGCCTACCACGAGCACCGTTGGATATGAATGCTTCCCACCGGGCTATCGATGGGACGAAGACGGTGAATTTTACTTTACTCCCGGTGTTTGTCCAATTGGCTATTATGAGGCAACTTCTTCCGTCACCACTTCCTTCACTAGGACAGAGACTGAAGGATACTGCTGCCCTTCGTGAGTTGAAACCACCATTTCCGAGGGTTTGCGGTGCTAATTGGATATCTATCTAGTTCCTACTCGGCCTATTCGACCGGCATTGGCTGTTACAGCAATCTGGTCAGTCACTCCGCTCCGATAGTGGGCTACAAGTTCCTGCCCGCAAGTGGTCTCATCAACAAAACCACCGTCACCTTTTACGATGCTGTCACCTCGGTCTCCGCCTTCGCGGCGGCCACGGTCATGGCCACGTTCCCATCGATGACGGCCCCACCACAAGTGATCAGACCCGCGATCCTGATCCGTTACGGCGGGACAGCGGAAAACGACACTTCCTCCGGCTTCAACATTAGTACCTTCAAAGTGGGCGCCTTGAAGCTCACAACACTCATCTACATTATTGCGGCGGTGATATTCTGCTTGATTCTGCTCTGCGCGTGTGCCTGCTACCGCAAGAGACGCAGACGGACCCCGGTCCTACTCTTGGTCCCGGACCGGAATCCGACCCCGCGGCCAATCGTCAACAATCATACATCATGGGCCCCGACTCCGCAGAATGCGTATCCTGCTTCCCCGCCCCCGAGATATCCTGCGCCTGTGAATGCGTTCAATCCGAGGAGGGCAGAGTTGCCTACATATGTCCCGCCGCCAGCAAAGCCAAACCGTGGGTTGACAAACGCTCCTCCTGTCGATCCTTTTGCTAGAACCCCAGGACCAGCTATACCGCGACCTCCACCTGCGGTGCCAAAGCCCCCACCTGCCCCAGCAACACCGGCGCCACCACACACTTTCGGCAACACCGGCCCCGACCATGTTCCCTCACACTCTGAAGCAGGTGACAGTGATGGCGATGCCGATTCCCCTGGAACCGGAGAGGAAGACGCCCTGACACGAGAGTTGTTTGCGGCAGTTGTTGCTGGTGCTCTTGAGGCGGCTGAATCTTCAAAGCCAAAAGGCCCGTCCAAGGCACCCCCCAAATTCGCTGTCCCTGCTCTGCCACCATCTCGACCTCCTGTCCGACCCCCCGCGTCCCGCTCACCACCTCCGGGTGACAACCCATTCGCAAGCGACATCCCGATGCAAGACCTTCCGCCGCCCGCCCGCTCTCCCGCCCCGCAAAGCGACTTCCTCAACACCCTGCTCTCCTCCGCCGGCCCGTCAGGACCTAGGTTTTTAGTGCCCGCGTCATCCGCAGCACCCGCCGTCACCGGAAAACCGACACATGGAGAATCCCTAGCGGACAAGCTGGACCTCGAGCCTATGATACTCGCCTCCTCGCGGAACACGCGTGACATAACCGGTGCAGAGGTCCGTGAATGTCGGGAATTGGTGCAACAACTAAAGGGCGGTAACAGCTCGGCTCAGAGAGGGGTATACAAGGCTGTCCGCCGGATGGCCTCTTCCAGGGATGCGTGGAACGCGGAGGATTGGGATAGAGTTTTGGAGGTTATCAGGAGGTTGGGGGTTCAATATGGGATTGAAGTTTCGGTGTGACTTTTTTATATCTTTTTGAGTTGGGCGGTTGCATTCTTTAATTTTTCTATTCTCTCATTGTTTGGGGAGGGATTCTTTCTGACTATTTTCGGTTGCGGTGTGGCGGCGGTGCGGAGTGGGCTTGTTGTATTTATTGCATCAACATCATCCTCTTGTAATTGTCTAATTTAATAGAAGCGTTGCGGGGACGAGACGGAACGAGTGTCTGGCGGCTGGTGTTGATGCGACAGGAAACTCTCGCGGAGGAGCTCTCTGAATTGCACGGGTAGCAACGTATAGTAACGTGCAGGCTCCTCCTATTGAGCGGTCTAAGGACCGGTATTGTGTGAACCCTGTCGGAAAGTCGCTTTATAGATCGCGGCTACCGTACCACAGTACTCGGCACAAGGCGATGGCGAATGGGAGGATTTTCTCAAGGATATCAATCAGCTTATCTGGGTTGTATCAACGGGGTGTCGGAGAGTGTCATGGGCGGGATGAGGTGTGCATATCACGAGAGGTCACGGCCGTGGATATACGGGGTACAAGAAGCCATCCAGTCTTACCCATGCCGGGACGTTGGAAGCGCTGGTTAAAAAACATGCGTTCTGAATAGCTCCGAGAAAAATATTAATTGTGGAGAGAGAAAAGAACAGAAGAGTATACACTAATAATTGCAAATATAAAACATGGAAAACAAAAAACACATAACTTAGTGAATGTTGGGCACGACAGCAATCTATTATTTTACAGCCATGATTTACCATTGTTCCAAGCACCCCCTTATACTATACTATGAATGTACCCATCTCCCTGGAAGGAAACTGTATATCGTTCCAAGTCCAAGTTTGCCAGTTTGATGGGAGCACTGAATGCTGTCCTTTGATCTCTTCACAAAGCCAGGTCACAACAGCAATGGTAAATGTGCTGAGTGCTACAGGCCCACAGTGGATTATGCAAGTAGGTCTCCAAAGGATTCCTACTATGCTGTTGTGACTTACGCTGCCAAACTGCACAACTCTTGAACATGCCAAGTGCTCTGCCTCTGAAGGTCAGTGACAGGTACCCACTCCAAGACCTTATGTCATATCGATCAACATTAGGTAGCCACCAATCTCAAGTCCTCCCCTCGGCCCCTTGGTCAGACTATTGGTTGGTGTATACATTTAACACTCCAATAACTGCCTTAGGGACTTATTAAGAGGTATGCATTGAGATGGCAGCCCGTTGGCAAGAGTGAGTACTGCAAAGACACATCAAGAAACATTACCTTTGACAGTTCTTTAGGCAGGGTGTTAAAGAGGGACACCCCTGCTGATATATTTTATGGCATGTACCCATCCATGCAATCCATCCACTTCAGCACACCAAGCAAGCATGTTAGTAGCCTATTGGCCAAGATCTGGTATACAGAAATTGACAGCCTGTGCGACATCAAACTTTCTAGAGCTCAAAACAGTTGCCTGTTGATCTCAACAGAAGAGTTTGTTGCCACTGGGCTCATAGACTACCTCAGCTATGACTCCCCATCTGGGCATGCTATTTTGACCCTCCTGGAGCTCAAGACTAGACTATCGATCTCAACAGGAAAAATTCTCCACCACATGTATGCAGTTTTGAACCTCCCTAGAGCTCAAAGCATGACTGCTGATCTCAACAGGGAAGGTTCTCCACTACAGCCATGCAATTTTGAATCTCCTGGAGCTCAAGACGAGACTGTCGATCTCAACAGCAAGTTCTCTACTACAATACCCATAGGAGACCTCAGTGTTTGCCTCTGATTCTGAATGTACAGACATCAGCACTGTTGGTGCTGTCCAGCCCCCCTAAAGAAATAAGGTTAGTAGATTATAATATGAAAAGAAAAAATAATATAAGAAGGAGGACTGACATGGACAACAGAGTAGGGGAAGAAAGAAAGAGAAGGGAAGAGCAAAACAAGGGGAAGAAATAAAGAGGGAAGTAGGAGGAAGAAAAGGGCAATGATAATGGAGACATTACCATATCCGGCAGGCGAGGCAGGGGAAGGGAAGGGGAAAGGGAAGGGAAGGGGAAAGGGAAGGGGAAGGGGAAGGTGGTGGTGGTGATGGTTGGTAGTTGCTGGATGTAAGGAGGAAGGAAAGAGGAGAGGATGGGGAAGAAAGGTCCCTTTTTATAGACTTCTGGTGAATGACTGCTCACAAGCTGTGGGGTGTTTGCTTAGGATTAGGGTATGGCTTTGGACTGTTATTTGGGATATTGCTCTAGAGAGGGTTTCCTCTTTTACAATTTTTTTTTTAACACTAGGAATTTGTAATAGTACCTTTACAGCAGCAGTGTACTAAGCGTTCTGGTATCTAAGTATTAGGGACTGTTTTCACAGACCTTGTGTTGAAATGACCATGAGTTATACACGCAACTTTTCCTTACAAGAGGGTTATAAGAAAATTTTTAAAGACATTAAAAGATGTTAAATATCAAATTAAGCAAAATTCTAACCAGAATAACTGGTGCAACGCATGTGTATAACACACAGTTATCTCAACACATGGTCTGCCAAACAACGCCTGATGCTGGTTACTCTCTACATCTACTCTCTACATTTGATAGGTGTGTTGCATCATTACCGTCACAACATCAACAAATCCCCAGAGTATTGCGGGAGCTTTATGGACAGACACAAGTGTACTTTTGAGGAAAATGGAAACTGTAAGTTCGGTCCTTCAAACCGATTGGGAGAGCAATAAAAACTCGGGTCCTATGGTAGATTTTCATTTTTCTAACAGATTCCAGCTGAGAGAGCCAGGACAAGGGATTGGGCTGGCTGGGAACCACTTTTGAAAAGAGGTTTAATTAATTAGGTGAGTGTCTAGCATCCTCGAGGCTGGTAGTCATTAAGGATTGTAGTGTTTCTTGTAATTTTTCCCTAACAAATTATTTCCAGGTCGCAAGTGAGATCGTATGGGACTTACCTACCTCAGAGAGAGGCACCAGTTGGTCCGCCGGGTGCTGTGGACACCCCAGAGGCCTGTCTGGTAGAATCGCAGGACCTGGGAAGCACTCCTCCTTGACTGGGGGTCAATTACCGGGGTTAGGACTGACACCTTTTCTAGCGATACCTTGGGCGCTTTGACAGACAAAGTGGTAGTGGAAGTATTATACCTACCAACAGAATCTACTATCTATGTTCCAGCAGGCTTTAACCCCTACCAGATAGTTTGTATCTCCATTCCCTTTTCCCACTTATGCCTATAAGATGCGAGGCCAAGCTAGGATGAGACAGGCTGGCTTGTTGTTGTCTCCCATCTCTTCGGAAGATTCTTATATGGCATGCTACCCAGGAAATCCTTTGTACCCGTGATACCGCCTTGTACCATCCAGTTTATCTAAGGTGGTACTGTCGGGGTACCGGATAATGTCAAAAGGTTGATTCACCATCTTATCAAAAGCATGTTTATGTTAATGTTAATTACTTCCTAGGTTATCTAATAAGAGTACTGGTTGTTGACTCCAACCATTTTGTTTCGGACGTCGTAAATGGAAGAGGCATTCGGGAAGCAAGGTGGGGGGAGTAATTACCGGTGATAGGCGGGAGAATTAATCGGGATTATTGGATAAGCTGGAAAGATAGAACACAGTTGAATTATAATAGGTCACTTTGTCATCGAATCATAGCGGCAAATTCACTCACTCACTCACCCACTCACTCGCATGGGGAAATGGGAGGACGGGAGGTTCTCATTTGGTGGTTTTCAGAATCTCGATGAGATGTACCACTTTCGGGGAATGGATACTGGAATGGAATTAATTGCGCTTCTATGTTCTGATTTCTGGATTAATTGGATTGCAATGTGGTTCTGGTACAATTGTATGCGCTTGGCAAGATTTTTTTGTTTTCTAGTAGCTTGATTCTTGGCCTCGTCTTGTGGAGGAACACTATCTAGGTAAGAGGAGGAGGTTGGGAATGGGATGAGTATAGGAGGGTAGAAAGAGAAGACAATGTCTCTATGAAAGGACCTGATGAATTGGCACTCCGAGGAAAGGATGAGTGAGGAATCGAAATTTCTTTTCCTCTCACCTTCTTATCAGTATTGGAATGTCAAATCCTCTCTTGAGACTTGCCGGTGACCTCTCTGTTAGCTTGGCCAGGATTGCCTGGTTTATATCAGTATTGAATGTCCGTTGCATAGCTAGTAACCTGGCACTGGACTCGCTTCATAGATATTGGTATCGATGCGCTCGGGAGCAAGGAAGAGTACAAGTTTGTTTCCCCGATGGCGGTAAGCGGCCGCGTACAGACTAGACTTCCTGTCACTCAGCATCCTCGGCATGAGAGCGCCATAACCGTGCGTGCGTGTGCATTTGAGATCCCATACACCTGCTGATGGACCTGCTGTGCAAGGCCATTATAATACCCGGCATGCCGAAACAGTGCCAGTGGTTTTGCTCATTTATGTTGGGATCCTTGTTCATCACCATCACACTGGCTCCCTCGGCGTAGCCTTGCTTAGCTACTACCATTATTGATGTGGGTTCTTGGTCTCCACAGGTTTTTGGCTTGGTTGGGCCAAGGGTTGCACTCTACAGTTTCGGCCTTCTTCTCTATCACTTCTTGGAGTACTCGATGCTTTCCGATGGTGTCTAGGATGTCAGGAGCTGGGGTGGAATAGGTCACTATGGAAAGAGGATATTTAATAGAAGGATGTACCTAATAGTTACAGGCACAAAACATGGAAATAAAAAAGCTTTTAATTTGTACTGTGAATGTATCTATCTTGCTGAGAAGAAACTTTATATTGGTTCTAATCCAAGTTTGCTGATTTACTAGATGTGCGTACTATTAATAACGTAAACTATAAACCTTTATAGAACATCTCTTGTGTAACGATTCGTGGGCAAAATGAGGGAAAGGCTGTTCTCTCACTTCTGAAAGCCTTGTGCTTTCATATCAATGGGAAGTTCTTAATCATGTAATCACTAGAGATATGAACCCTGCACTAGTTTATTGGAAATGAATTAAGATCCGAAACTAGTCCTTTGTATTTTTAAAGAACTAGATATACAGTAGGAAACCTTCCGAGTTCCACTACCACATCCCCCCTTCTAATTTTTATGAATCGCAAGCATGACACCTGGACCTTCAGGGTAATAGAATCTCCCACCAGCCAACCCCTTCCAAGCACAATTATCGGCAATCCAGAACCCAGCAAATCCAACATTGTCGCAAGACGTCCAAACAAAATATTGCCCACAGATGCTGATCGCTGCGTCCCCAGCCCCAATGAGTTTCGTGCACTTGCTTCCATGCCGGTTCAACTGCTGGCAGAGATGGTGCTTGAGCTCTCCGCGAAGTCTCCCCGATATCTCGCGGATCCAGTGCACAGATGGGGATGCAAAGGTAGTGTCGCAGACGTAGCTGGCTTGGGAGGTGAAGTTCCGCATGGTGATTCCGTCGGTGAAGGTGACATTCATGGCCAACTTCGGGGTAGGATCATTGATGATTTCGAGGGCGGCGAGGTCCTCTGGGGTGTCCCAGGATTGGGATTCGGGTTGGTCGTCAACCGGGTGAGTAAGGATAGGCATGGCGATAGCCAGGATAGAGATGAGGAAAAAGGTGATGTTTGAGATGAACATTTTGCTTAGGAGTTCGAAGATCTTGGTTTTTTGTTTTGAATGCGTTTTTGGAGGAAGTGGTAGGAGGAGATGGTTGTTTGTATGAAGTCGGAGAGTTGTTTGTGTGAAAGGTAGGAGGAGAGGAGCTTTGGATCGGTTCATAGTCGGGCTGGATTAGGTACCGGCTGGGAGTATAGGTCATTGTTTGTGGGCTCTGTGCCCTTATTGTAACTAGGGTTGTTATTAAAACTGTAGGGAGGTGTATTTGTTATACTGTGTAATAATTTTTCTTCAATATAAGAAATACTATGCAAAGCTTGATATGGTTCTGGAGGTATGAGCTTTATATCAGCTTTCAAATGAAAGAGTGATAATTTTTGATATGATCCAAAGGAAACAGCTATCATGGACCATAAACCCCACTGGCTTCAATCTCCCCCGGCTGGTATGCACCTCTCTCCATCCTTGCTAGGATACTAACTCCTCTAGGATGAGGGGTCCGAACAGAATGAGACAAGTTTGGCAACCTCCCGGCTCACCTACCTATTCTCAGACTAAGGACTGCCAGAGATGCAATCGGAACCTGCGACACTTCTCTGGACCATCTAGTGAATCTAGGTAGCTACTGATGGGGGTGCTGGATAAAGTCCAATTTCAATTTCCGGGCTCTTCCTCATTGAAAGCCTGTTTAGGTTGACATTTATTACCATCTCAAGTTATCTAATGGGATTACCGGCCGTGGGGCTCGGGAAATTGGGTCTGGCTATTTCATTTGGGGTGTCGCAAGCGGGAGGAGTGTTGGGAAAGCACCGTTGGGTAAGAGTGAGGACCTATGATGGGCGAGGGAATCAATTGGAATAATTAGGCCAAGTGGCAAGGTGAAGCATGGCTAGAATATCGGAAGGCAAGTTGGCGGCGAGTGGTGGCTATTCACTGGAAAGATTCACCACTGATTCAGGCAGGAATTGGAGAATCCGATGTCAATACTGATATCTGGGAAGCCGTATGGGGTACCAACATTGGGGGAATGCTTGCACCGGGTGAGACTACCTGTGGTGCTATATGTTGATTGACGTGCTACTTACTTGGATTGCCGTACGCTTCAGGTCACGATTTTATGTACGTGCAAGTGATTTCCAGATTACTGTTAGCTTTATATGAGTCCGGCCTTGCTGACGGCAACATCTCG